CCCCCCCCCCCTACTTTGCCCAAGCATACACTACATCATGGTAAGCAGCAGCGTCGATGTCAACGGTTAGTGTGGCAAGATTGCTGATGCTGCGGGATTTGCGAGGATAGACCGAGTCTGGTGCGCACGTTTCGATTGGCGAGACGCCGGTAAGGCCGCTGTCGTCGTCGCCGCTTTCGCCGCCACGCAAGTCGCCCATGCCGCCGTGCTCGGCGTCCACATCGGCACCGCCCGCGGAGATCGAATCGAGACTCACGCGCTTGTCGTCGCAACCCGGCGTGTTGGGCTGTCTGGTGCTCAGCCGCCGTGATGGACTGGTGATCCGCAGCGGTGGGGCCATGTTCGACCCCAGCGGACCAGGCGCGAACCAGAGGGCCGAGATGCTCAAGAGCGTCACGAAGCTCGTCAGGTCCAGTGTGGATGATCTTGCGAGCGATATCAAGGCCATCGACCAGAGTGTAAGTTCGAAGGTCAAACATAGCATAGAGCGATCAAAGGAAAAGTGCTGACAGAAAGCGTGGGGTTAGGACGAGCTGGGATTCTTGAGGATCAGGACCAAAAAGTACGAGATCATGGTCACGCCCAATGAAAAATACCTGCTTGTCGTCCTCCAGGTACGTATGCACAGACAGCCAAGATGGAAACGGCAGATACTGACATGGATTTCATCGGGATGCTAGGATCCAAACATCGCCCCACAGTGATCTCGGCATAACGGCCATCGCATCCGCTCCGACTCCTTTGTCTATAAGATACCCGCAACCACTCTATTTGGCCTACCCGTTGGGCAACTGGCGCATGATCTACTTTTCAGCGCGCCTGCTCTGCAGTTTGGCTACGAGCTCGGCCGCCGTGAGACGGTGTCGAAAGATCTCTGCTCAACACTGCGAGTGAGCAGTCATGTTGCAAGGTATCGCCAGAGAGGAGGGGGAAAACTCACCTTGGCCGTCGAGATGCAGCACGGGAATGTCGTACTGGTACTTGCGGCGCCAGTAGTGCACGTTGTCGAGCGAGTCGTCGCGGATGTTGTAGGTGGCGAGTGTGAGCGGTACGTGCTGTGCGGCGGTGGCGATTTCGTTGCGCATCACATCGCACAGCTGACAGTCTGTACCCGTGTAGAGTGTCAGCTTAAACACCCGACCCGCTTGCGCAGATAGCAGACGCAGCGAGGGCAACATGCTTGGTCCATGGAGGCCGTGAGGAAAGAGACGCGCCTTTTTTAGTGGGCCATGCCCGAGGTAATTCCAGGACCCTTGTTTCTCCTCGACCACCATCCGCACACCGAGCACCCAGATGTCGCAATCACCACCACAAGAGAGCCGAGGGATGCCGCCAGAACGCAAACGCAAACGGTCCGAGGAGCGAGACGTGGGCGTCTTTGTCGACATCCCGCAGCCGTCGAGTTCGGCCATGCAGGCGTTTCACGCAGCGCAACACAGCCAGACGGGCACACAGATCTCGCTGCCCGCGTCGATCTTCGATGGTCTCGGCGCCCCAACCGCCGCAGCTGAATCCCACTCCGAGTACGTGCCCTCCAGCCATGCGCATTCGTCGGTGGCGGTCGAGGCCATGCGCCCATTGCCCGCCATGGACGTGCGCGCATTCGAGCCGTTCCTCGACGACACGACCGGCATGGATCTCGACCGGGCAGACAAGGTGCAGCAACGCGTCGACAGCTCGCCCGTCGAGTCGTTCTCGCCTGCCGAAGTGGTCAAGGCGCAGGATGTGCCGAGGGTGGGTGCATGGGTGCTGCCCGAACTCACCGAGGAGAATGCGAATCCAAGGCTGCCCGATTATACGTCGCAGGAGGTGCTCAGCCAGATTCCGTATCCGATTCTGGACAGGGAGGAGCAAGAGGCGCAGCAGGCGCAGCAGGCGCAGCAGGCGCAGCACATGGTGTCGCAACCATCGCCCGAGCGGCAAAGGTCGTCGCCACCGCCAGTTCAGTCGACTCCCGCAAACCCAGCGGTGCAGTCGGAGCCAGAGATGGTGCTTACGCAGCCCATCCCCGACGCGCCCGAATCCACGCCCGCACTGCCACCACCCACCGCGGTGGCGAGCCAGGTGGATGCTTCGTCCGGCTCGTCGACGAGCTCTTTGGGCTGGTCGACTCTCCCCCGCCGCGAAGTGGTCGAACTCGTCCACCGCTCCCCGCACATCCCGGAACTTCTCAAGGACGAGATCGAGCGATTCATCATGCGCGCCTCGCGCACCGCCGCAAAACCGCGCCACGCTCGTGGATCCCACTCGCAATCGCGCAGCAACGACGATTCGGAAACGCAGGAGGACGGCGTACTGCGCACGAAGAAAGTATGGTGCATGGACCTGCTCCTCCTCTCACCCTCCTCGTCTCAAATGGTAGGCTCCGAGTTGGTGCAGAGGTTGACGCAGCAGACACAGCACAGTTCGCAGTCGACAAGGGGTGGGGTAGCGGTGATCCTCATGCTCGATACGCACGAGAGCACGTTTGACGTGCACGAGCTCGACGAGTCGCTCGCCGCCGTGCTGCGCGCCGACCGACGATACAGCGTGCAGTTCGATGCCCAAGGTAGGCGATGGCATACGACCACGGCCGGGGTGGAGGATGAAAGCGAGGCTAGAAGCAGTGCGTTGGAGCAACGGCTGGAAGCGCTACTGCAAGAGGTGGAAGCGCTGGGGGAAGAGAAAAGGGTGGTGGAGAGGGAGAGGGACGAGGTGCGCGGGCAGCACGACTTTGTGCGTGGCCTGTACGACCGTGCGTCGGCAGCGGCTGCCAGTGCCCAGTCGGCGCTAGGCGAGGCCGAAGCACGGGTGGGGCTGTTGGAGCGACAGCTGACGCAGGGGTTGAAGGTGCATTCTGCCGCGCTCGAGATGCAGGTGTCGAGGTGGAAGGGCAAGGTGCGCAGGCTCGAGGCGCAGGTGCAGCTGTACCAAGCACAGGACAGAAGGACGGATGAGGGGGTGAGGAAGAAGGCGGCACTGTGGGATGCGTTGCAGCGCGAAGAGAAGCAGAGGGAGAAGATGCGGCTGGATCGGATCAGGGCGCACGACGAACGCAAGAGGCAGATGGGTGATGGTCTGGGTCCTTTTGCCCCGCCTCAACGCACCGAGCCAAGCGAGGTTGCCAACTCGAAGCGTATCGAGGCGGAGAGTGGTGGAGAAGAGATGGACGAGCTAGCGGCACTTGCACTTGAAGCGGCCCAAGCTGGCGACACGCCCACCGCCGGTCGCAGTCGCCGCCGTCGCGGGCTCGGTGCATCCCAACCGCCCCCAACGGCAAGCGAGGTGGCAGCGCAGGTGGAGGCGGCCAACCTTGCATCGGCGACAGCCAGGGAGGATTCGGCACAGGATGTCGAGGATCAGTTTGCGCTGTTTCCGACACCCTCCGCGCCCGTGTGGACGCAGAGTCTGCCGTCGAGCCATACCGAGGTTGAGGCTGCGGGCGAAGAGGTGTTTCCCATCACCCAGCCATAGCCCCCTAACGCGCGAAGAGAATAGAATCCAATCGGGCATGGCCAATCTTGTGCTCGATCTTGTGCTTTGCGCAGGTGTGCAGGGGGGCGGCGGAGAGATGGGTGGCGGATCATTTGAATCTGGGTGCGCGAGGATGTACACAAGGCTTTGCACGCGCGCAAGACAGCGTGCACTACCGACCGCTCGGAAGGGTAAGCTGGTCAGGAGCGGGTTGGATGGAGCGGGCGCGCGCGCGCGCGGACGAGGTTCTGGCATCAGATGCACCAACTTGTCGCACCGAAATGTCGCAGTTTACCCAGCCTTTTTCTTGAAGCGAATCAACGGAAGGCATTCATCTCGCAGACGCCTACCTCTGGTTACCTCGGGCTACCTCGGGGTGGGCATTTGGATGACAAGCTTTGGCTGGTGGCAGTTGGGATCATTCGTCACGCACGACCTGCTGCATTGCACACTCGAACGCGGCCAAGGACGAGGATGGCGGCTGCTCCATCTCGGATGCGAAGGAAAAGCGTCCAAGCATGACAAGCCGACACGGCGACCGCAAAGAGTTGCGTCGCATCCACATTGCACAGCGCTTTCTTTCACTCGGCCCACAGCTTGCCAAGGCGGGTTTTGGAGAGGGACCCCACGTCACACTCGGCATCACACACAGCATGGGCACAATCATCCGACTGGCTTGGGCATTGTCTAGTTGTTGTCGCGCTGCGCCTTGAACTTGTCCACCCACTGCTTTTCGGCGTCTCCCTTGGGCACGACAACCAAGCTGAGGATGCCATCGTGCATGACGAGTCCATCTCGATCCCTGACCTTGTCCATGCCCGGTTCGGCATCCTTGTACGCCTGATCCATGACATGACGCAGGGTCAACTTTCGCCCGAGCTTGAGCAGTCGCTGACGCCTCGTGCTGGCGTACACCACCAGGTTGCCATCGTAGTACTCCCCCGCCTTGTCCCACGGCAACGACCCTCGTGAGGAGGAAGGGAAAATCGTGGAAAGGTACTCGGCCAGGGGTGTGTCTTCGTGAAAGTCCGAGATAAAGTCGCTCTGTGCGTGTTGTGGGTACATGAAGAAGACTGGCACAACGAGAGGTGTTCGAATCACGTCTGGCACGGTCCACTTTGACGACTCGGGTCCAGTGAGTGGGATCGAAGGGGCGGAGGAAGGGTCAAAGTGCGCAGGCGTTGGATTGTCGGGTGGACGAGGCGTAGTTTCCAACCACAGGCCGCGAACCACAAGCGCTTGCTGGATGGCTTTGGCCATCAAGTCGGCTCGACGAGTGCGTTCTTTAGCTTCGGCCTGCGACTTTTCCACGGCTGCAAGTCGAGTTTCGGCCTTGAGCTTGAGCGCGGCAATGGCGTCGTTGTCCGGGTTGGCGCCGAGCGCATGGTCGCAGCAATCCACTGCATCCTTGCATCGATCGAGCGCGATGAGTGCCTTGGCTGCGCGATAGTACGCCTTTTCGTTCTTGGCGTTGATGGCGAGCACGGCCGAAGTATCCCTCAACGTCGATCCGTAGTTGTGCAGCTCCAAATGGCACGCTGCGCGATTGGCGTGCAGGGTCTCGAGAAGCGCCTGGTCGTGTGGATGGGCGTCGATGGCCTGCGAGTAGAAGCCGAGTGCCTCGCGAAAGCGGCGTGCGCGGAAGTAGTCGTTGGCCTGCTGCTTGAAGTTGGCGGCGACCTCGTCGGGCGAGCCGTCGAATGCGAGCGACTGGAGTGCGTCGAGTGCGGTCTGTGTGTCGGCATCGGCGTCTGTGGGGAGGTCCTTCATGAAGAGCGGTACCGAGTCCCAGGATTTGAGCGTCGAGTCCACATCGCGTGGCTGGTCCGATGGCTGCGCATACGTGAAATCGCCAGAGCGAGGGGGCGGGCGAGGCAGCGGTGTGCGTGTGGACGACGCCGAGCCGGAATCCAGCGGTTCAATCACGGCCATGTTGGGGGGTGGTTGGTGGTGCAGGCAAAGATGGTTGGTGTGGAGGAAAAGGCGGAAGAAAAGGTCGAGCGGCTTGGTCAAAATTCCACCCCGCCAAAAAGCGAAGCTCCGATTTCCGAAGTTTGAAGCATCACCATTCGAAGCTGGATGGGGACAAGCATGGCATTGGTGCATGGTCAAGGTGCGGGCTATCGGCGCGACTTGGGCATGGGTACAAAGGCATCCAGCGGCGATTTGGACATCTCGCGACGTGCGCGCTCGCGTTCTGCGTCGTCGTTGGTGCGTTCGGCTCGTCTTGCGGCTCTGCGGTTCATTGCGTCTTGCAGATCGGCTGATGGTTGTGGTTCGGATTGCGTATCTGGGTCGAGCTGACCTTTGGCGGCGAGACGAGCGCGACTTGCAGCCCAGACGTCGTCGTCGGGTCTCCTCTCTTGCTGTAGCGGCTGATCGCTTCGCTGTGGCGGCGGCTGTTCGCTTACGATGCGACTCGCTGCTTGCTGTTCCACCTCGGCATCCAGGACGGTAGCGGTGGGCATGGCCGAGTTGGAGTGTAGGAGTGTCTGGGCGCGCTGTTTTGCGCTTTCGTGCTCCTCGAGTCGCGCCTGCTTTTCGTTTTGCCTGCGCTGCTGGTCTTCGAGTGCGAGACGGGCGGCGTTGGCCTGGGTGGTGAGGATGCGCTGGCGGTCGCGTGCGAGCTCCTCGATGCTGGGCGGATCGCGGCGGGTATGGCGCAGCCACATGACCCACTGCACGGGGATGGAGCGCTGGTCGTAGTCGCCCATCTCCCTTTTCTCCTTCCACTGGATCGAGCGGCGGGGATGGCGCGGATCCAACGAGCCCGAGAGCGACGGCAGCTCGAGGTAGGCATTTCCCACCAGATCGTGGCCCACGATGTAGCGTGCCTTGCCGATGCGCAGCGTTCGTGCTATGGATTGTAGCAGGCTCATCGTTTTTCTTTCTAGAGATGGTGGCAGCGGCTCAAGGATGGCGAAGGCCAAAACCAAAGAAAGGCCAAAAGATAGTTGGTGCTTTCGGATGTTCCTCCACTCTCACCACCCAATCCCACGCCGCTTCCCGCGCTGACCAAGCCGTTCGGAAGAGCCGGTGGTGCGATATTTTTTTTTTTTTT